TATGGTTCATGGGGTCACGAAGAGTCGGACACGACTTAACGACTAAACAACAACAAAGAATATTTTGCTCAACTTATTCTTCCAGCTTCATATCTAACCTTCTGATTTTTATATTGATATATAGTTCATGGATACATGGAATACTTAAAGACCACTTAGGATCACATATGAATACAGAGGGCAAAAGAAGCTTTGTGTGTGTATGGCAAACAAGTGCAGATGTTAAGGCAGAAAGTCTTGAAAAGGTGAAACCTGAATTGCTGGCAAATGACCTAAAGAAGGGATGGCTTCAAGTTTCTATAGACAAGCTCAAAACCAATAATTCCAAAGAATCCAGACAAAATATACTGGGATGGCTTCAGGAATCTCTGAAAAGACTGAAAGAGGATTCTTCTAGAGCATCAAGACACACCCTGGCACAATGGCTTAAAGAATCTGTGATAAATCTTCAGAAGGAAGGTCCTGAAGCATCCAGGCAAGATGTGAATGAGTGGCTGGATGTATCCATAAATCATCTCCAAGAGAAAGGGCCAGAAACATCCCCTCTAAATGTGCAGGAATGGCTTGAAGCATCTATTAAAAGCATTCAGGATCTACAGAAGTCTGAGGCAGAGTTTCGAGATAGCCTAAGAAATGGATGGCTTGAAGAATCAATAGATAACTGTATCCATAAATCATCTCCAAGAGAAAGGGCCAGAAACATCCCCTCTAAATGTGCAGGAATGGCTTGAAGCATCTATTAAAAGCATTCAGGATCTACAGAAGTCTGAGGCAGAGTTTCGAGATAGCCTAAGAAATGGATGGCTTGAAGAATCAATAGATAACCTCAAGAAGCAATATTCTGAAGGACCTTTGGAGAATACATTACAGTGGCTTCAAGGTTCCCTAGAAAGCCTCTTAGCTTCTGGAGCACCCAGACCAGTTCTGGAAAAATGGCTTAAAGATACCTTTAAAAACCTTGAGGAGGGAAGTCCTGAAGCATCCAAACAAGATGCAAAAAAATGGCTTGAAATATCTATTAATAACCTTGTAAAAGAAGAACCTGAAGCACCCCATCTAGATACTCAGAGATGGCTTGAAACATCTATTAAAGGCATCCAAGCTTTCAGAGAACAATACTCTAAAGCATCAAAAGCAAACATGGAAAAGAGCAAGGAGAGAGTGATTTTTGTAGAACCTGCTTCCTCTGAAAGTTGCTTAAGAAATGAATGGCTTCAAGCATCTGTAGCAAATCTCCAAAAGCATGGTTCTAAAGCATCCAGAATGAATGTGCAACAGTGGCTACAAGGGTCTCTGAAAAATCTCAGACAAGGATCCCCTAAAGAACCCAGAAAGAACCTTGAGGAATGGCTTAAAGAATCCATAAAAAAACTTCAGAAGGAAGGACCTGAAGCATCCAGGCAAGATGTGAATGAGTGGCTGGATGTATCCATGAATCATCTCCAAGACG